TTCTAAATTCACAAGCAGAGATGCCAGTTGTCACCACAAACATTCATTTTGAATATTCAAGAATTTTCATTAGGTAGCAAATATATATATATATATATAAATTATTACAAGGAAGAAGTAAATAATTATAAATAATTACATGCAAATAATACACTTGTAACTGCAAAGGATAATATTCAGATTAAACCAAAGCACTTATGACACCTTAGTGGAATAGCTGTCTTCCAATTCAACATATAAACAAGGAAAAACAATATGCTACCTTTTGTGGACATATTAACCAGGAGCAAATATCATAGAAAAAAATAAGAACATTTCACATAGGCACCAAAATTGCATATTCTTTTACATGTTTTTCCACCACATTCGTGACATGGGGGAGCAGCCTCCTGTGGATGCTTCATAACAACATGGGGCAGGGATGCAGTTCTGCAGGGGATTATTATCCTACCTCTCTGTACACCTTCACACAGTACTAGATGAGTATGAATATCTCAGAACCTCAGTTTCTTCACAGGAAATATAGTACCTCCAATTTATGAATTATTCTGATAATTGGCCACATAAAATTTGCAATGTCCTCTTTTTAGTGGCTATTTTTGCAGATACCCGCTTTGTATTTTATAGTATATGTTTCCCATTAAAATGTCTCCAAAAGACACATAGGTGTTCAGCATAGATTTTTTTTCAATTAATAGATGAATGAATGACAATAGGAAAATGAGAAAATCCTTTCCAAATACAATCCCTACAATTTGAAGGAATGTGTTTGGGAAAACCAATCATGAATAAAGAATTTATCAACTTAAAAAATATACAGAATTCTGTCACTAAAGATTTGACAACATTGATCACAGGTCACATAACATTGTTTCCCTGTCCTTTAACTACCTGTCAGCCTAATTTGTTATAAAACTTTTACCTGTTTTATTAGCTCACCTTTTGATTGCTACCTAATCAATATTAATATCATACAAATAACAAAAATTCTTGGTAATGATATGGTTGTAAGTTT